TTTTTTTTCTTCTGTTTTTGATCTTTCAATAGAGATGAACCACCCCTAGCCGGAGTTTCAACAATGTTTGGCGGCGGTGTTTGAGTCAAAATGTTGAAAGATGGAGCATGAACTTCATTCGTATAAGTTCCTTCAACTAATAGAGGGCTTTTTCGAGGAGTTATAATCGTGTTCTTCGACATGATTTTGTTGAAAAAACTAAATTGAATGGAGGATTGTGAAGTTGGTGTAGTTTGGTGGTGAGAAAGATGTGATAGATGAAGGTAAAAGTGGGCTACTGTGTTAATGGCGTGTAGAATTGGATGAGCGTGGGGGGAGGGGATGTGATTGACGTATGGGCGGTTTGGAGGGGGTGGGATTGACGTTTAGGGGGTGGTAACGGTAAAGAAGGAAACGTGTTGTAGGTGAATCCCTATATCTATGTAACTGATAATTTCAGATTTAAAAAGGAACATAAATCAATTTAATTACATATTATTAATTAATAATAAAAAACCATAAATAGATTAATCATTTATTAAATAAATGTAAATTGATTTTTAAATAAAATTAACTTTAAATGATATGTCATAACTCGTAAATAAACTGTTATAATTAAGAATTTTTTAAAAATATATTTAAAACCCATAAAATTGACTCTTAAATGTGTATAGGCGTGATTTTTCCATTTAAAAATAGGAGACCCCTATTCGATAGAGTGGGCTACCGATTGGGCACATTAGAGTACATATGGTCCATTAGTGAATGGGCCAAAATTAGGGGTTAGGTCATGGCACAATTTGTGGAACCCAACTGATCAAAAACGCATATGGCTAGTTGGTACTTGGTAGGATTTTCAAATGCGGAAAACTAAGCAAGTAAAATAATTACAAACATATACCCCTTTATATTCATACTTCACTAAATAATTACACTATATATCCTCCTCAACTAATTTTGCTAAACTGATACTAAATCAGTATTATATATTGTATAATGATCATTAAGGTTGATAATTATATATATGATTGTTTGCTCTCAGCAGATCAGATTGTTGATTCTTTTTTTTTTTTTCCATCTTTTTTTTATACATATGGGTTCAGTTTTTTAATGTATTTAGTTGTTTTTGTTTCTTAAATTAATGTATAATGAATTGTTTCTACATTATGATACGTTACAATTTTATCAAGAGTTGTTGGTGACTCCGGTAAGGGCTTTGAGTCGAGATCCATGAGTGACGTCATTGTTGAAGGTGAAAAAAAAGCTCCAAGAGTTGATACAAAGCAAAGGAGAAAGTGTAGAAGAATTTCTTCATCTTTTTTTTTTTTGGTTGCTTTTAGCAGATCAAATTGTTGATTTTTTTTGTTGCTTTCAACGGATCTTTTAATGTATCTAGTTGATTTTGATTCTTAAATAAATGTATAATTCGTTTGTTTCACCTTTATGATATATTACAATTTTATCATGTACAATATATCATTTTCAAATATTAGTTTTGATACATAACCCTAATTTATTGAAACGCATATTAGTATATATCATGTTCATAGTTATATATTGAATACACAATTATTACAAATTTTGTTATCTTTTACTACTGATATATCCACCTAGCCTTATTCAACTAGTAGAATGCTATGTATATGTAAACACTATCAAATATTACTGTTGATATATAAACACTAATGTTTTATAACAAAATCAGTTTGTATCATATTCATAAATATGTATATGACACATAACTTTGTGTATAACATAGTTATGTATAAGATGTTGTAATGTATAACATATTGTTAAGTATCTACAACACTGTTTTATAGATAAATCAATGCATATCATATTCATAGTGTTTTTTGTATATGATACATAACTATATAAAATTATCGATTTTTTGAATCTGATACGATTTTGGAGATTTCATAGAAGAATAATTGAAATTTGAATTGTTTGGAGTTGTCATCATTTTGATTTGCATGATTTGAAAAACTGACTTTTAATTTTATAATTTTCAATATAATTTTAAATATCTAAACTATAACTTAATATATCAACATTTGGGAAATTTTTAATTCATGAATAAAAGTAAGATATTTCCAGATTATATTAAGTTTGAAATTAAATTAATTTATTATTTATTTTTCGTAAAAAGAGAGGAGAAAAAAAGATATCACATGGGAGCATGTGTGAATAATAATAAGGTCGTTGGTAAACGATGTTGTACGGTGGATATAGTACGGTTGTGACCCACAAAGTCACACGTTCCATTAGTATTATTATTATTATTTATGTATAAAATAATGAGATTGTTATTATTTTAATAAGTACATTGCATATATGATTGGTAGGCACATCATCAAATTAAAAAAGTCTAATATATGTGCACGTAAGTCAATAACGTATCTGACTTGTCTAATAAAAAATACTACAATTATAGACTACTTCTTATACTCTTTCAATGGCCTCTTTTTTTGTTTTTGTTTCTTAGGTACAAAACTTTTACTCAATATTGCACTCATCCATGAACTTCTGTTTTATCACAATTATGCACTCAATTTTTTGGGAAAACCATCCAAATATGTTTATATATAATCTAAAATTGATTAATTTCATCCATTGTTTTGTTACGCCATTGGTCCATTTATGTTTTTCTTGGTTCGTAAATCTTCTCGTATTTTCCCTTTTATTGATGGAGCTACACCGTGAAAGGCTTGTATAAATTTTTCAAAAAAAGACATCAAACGTTTTACTATGATTCAAAATTACCTTGACATTAAAGCTCAATTAGGGGTCGAGAGGTAAAATGAAATTGCTAAAGACGGATAATATTAAACCAAGTGTTTAGCGTCAAAGTTGCTCAATTTTAAATAACATAAGGATAATTTAGATGTTACCCTATTTTTAAGGTACCTCCATTCAGATATATGTTTTGGATATTCAACTGTTCTAATGTCAATTTATTCCGTTTACTATTCTTGTGGTGGTGTGATATCCCACATCATTTTAATTTAATTTCTAATCCCTGCTTTGTTTTTTCAGACCTTATTAAAAAGTTTATGAATTCAATTCCTCAATGACCATTATATTCAAAACAAATCTTATAGTCAGCCAGCCCATATGATGTTGCTAGGAAGGAGGCATTTAATTTGCTGCATTTTCTTTTAAATAAAATACAATTGGCCCCATTGCTAGCTGTTATACCATCATTTTATGAGTCCAACTATTGAAAAAAAAGGAGTGAACTCTTCCTAACAACTATAAAAACAAATACTCCATTCGTTCTAAAATAAGCGGTATTTTAATCTTTTCATTTTGTTTAAAAATAAGTAATATTTTTAAGATTTCAAAAAGGATATAATCTTATTCTTCCAAAATCATCTTTATTTCAATACAGGAATAATTATAATGTGTTCAAATTAAAAACATTACTTATTTTTAAATGGAGGATTAATAAACAGTGAGACAGGAGACAGAAACCCATCTTGAAGGAGGTGAAGTCAAATGAAGACGTCCTTGAAGTTTGAACATATGAAATCAAATCCTTTTGTTCTTTTAAAAGTCATTTGGTTTCTTCAAAAAATCTCCAACATGAATGCACCGAGATCATGGAGGACATAAAGGATTTGACCCAAACAAAGATAAATACTCATAATATATTCGGATTATAACTTTATTATTTATTAGAGACTTGTAAGATTTTTATAATTGACAAATAATTCTACTCTATATATTATATAAATATTGACCGTATAAATAAATTTTGATTTACACAATTAGTGTAATTTCCGATATATATCTTTTTGGATCTAATTATACAATGTGATAGTAAAGAAATTTTTATACTATCAATTTAATTTAACTCGCAATAACAGGTCGTCGTCGTTGATACCAATTACCATAAGTTTGTTTCCACAACTCGACTTTTGCTGAATTAACAGAAAATTTGACATGTTTTATTTAAATTCTCCTTAAATTATATCTTATCTTTATTATCTATGTACTTTTTTTTCTACTTTTTATATTTTTATAAGTGTCAACCTCTCAAATAGCATAAGATAATGGAGATTCAATAAATGATAAATGATCAGAGAATCAAAAGGAAGTTACATTGAAGTTTCTATAGAGTTCAAACTTTTCAAGCCAATCCAAATGGAACAAACTTTTACGTGTCAAACTATTATAGCCTGATTTTATTGACTACTCACCAATCACTGCAACTTTCTGAATAAAAAAGTATGATTATTCTTTTCTTGAGTTCTTGGATCTTGCCAACCTTAATTTCCTTTTTTTTGTTTTTCTTTTCAACTTACGAAAAAGCAGAAGAAAAAGAAAATAACAACATTCACATCGAAATAATTAATTCAAACAGAAGATGATTTTGATTAAGCAATCACATACGTTGCATCCATTTTTGTTTGTATACCCAAAATTCAAAATCGGAATAAAAGAATGAAAATAACGTTTTTTTTTCTCCTATACTTTTTCCTCCACGGTAATAATACAAAGAAAAAAGATATGAACATGAAAATTCATTCCAATTTCATCCCCTAATGTCCTAAGAAATTTTTAAAAAAATGAATGAAGAAAGACTATTGGGTAATTGACAGCAAATTTTTCAAATCAAAATAATATTTTATTTAATTAGTTCCCTGGGAAACTACTAGTGTTGTTATTATTGCTTGAGGGACCGGACATGGGGCTGTTGCCGTTATTCGGATGAGAACCACCGATGATGGAGGAGATGGCAGCAGCAAGGGCGGCGGTGAAGTTAGGATCGGCGGTGATGGCAGCCGTGGCGGCGGAGAGCGTGTCATGAGAAATTGATGGGTGATGATGAATGTTGTCCTGAGAAATTTGTAAGCCCGAAAATTTCGATTGGTTATACAAAGGTTGCCCCAAAATGTGAGGCATTTGTGGTGCTGACATTGAAGCGGCGAAATTCGGGTGATTAAGCCCAGCTGGTAAAGGGAATTGGAAATGAGGATTTGCTTGGTTAATTCTTTGATGGTAATTAGACAATGCTCCGTTTGGATTTTGGGCCGTGAGGTCTAATGTAACAGTAGGAAATGGAGCTGATGCTGAAATAGTTGCCATGTTTGATGAACATGGAAGCATTGCCCTTGCTAAGAAATTTGTGTTCATTAGCCCATCAGCACTTGGCATGGAACCAGAGAGCAACATGTTTGCTGCTGCGGATGTTGTTGATGCCATAGCCATGGCTGCTGGTGGTAGTGGGTGGTTATGTGCACCTTCGTATGTTGTTATTAAGATCGTCCTGTCGTCCGCACACCTTTGCACCTGAATAATTATGTCATGTAACTCGTAAATTATTTCTTTATATTGACGGTGTATATTTATGAGTTATATAAAGTTGAGCATATATAGATGAGTACCTGTTTGCGCACTGGACAGCCAACAGCCATAGTGCAGCGATAGTAAGCACGTGGACATGGATTGCCTTTTGCCATTTTCTGACCATATTTTCTCCACTGGCAACCATCACTAATCTGCGAAATTTTTATTACAAATGATTAATTTTGATGCTAAAATTGTTAAATAGTTAAATACTACTGGATTGATATTTTAGGTGACGTACCATGGGAGCTTCTGATCGGGCACGAACGGAGACACGAGCTTTCCTCATGGTTGCTTCTGTTGATTGCTCAACAGGTTTTGATGGTGAATTCATCAATTTAGGGGCCTTGTTTGGAACCCAACTCTCAGATTCTGGGCTTTCTTCGCGGTTAATTGCCTTATCCCTTGACACTAATTCCATGTTGTTCCGAGGTGATCCAGACAGTGTTCTTTCTTCTGATGAAGAGTGAGAATGAGATGGTTCATCCATCGGGTCAACTTTGGAACCACTTGGGCCTAGCTCCATGAATTGTCTTGGAACTATGGTCCCATTATTCTCTTTTTTCTTTTCTTCATCAGACTTTGCGCCAACAACCTAAGGAAATTAAAAATTGTTAACAATATACATAGGATTTAGAGTTTAAATTCTATATACATGTTCATTTCTAGAATGAGAAGATATTGAATAATAGATCGATAAAATTAAATTACATACACAATTATTCAGAATTTAGTAGAATACTACAGCAATGAAGTACCTCATGGGGATGTGTATTTTCAGTTTTTGAATTCAGTTGTTGCTGCTGCTGTTGTTGCATGAGTGTAACAAGATGCATCTGAAGTGCAGAATAACTGCTGTTAACTTGAGTAAGCATCCCTTTTAAACGTTGATTCTCGGAATTCATCCGTTCAAGCTCAACTTGCAATTGTGCCAACTGCTATTTATAAATTAAGAAAAAAAAAATCAAGATACAAGTCAATTCCAAAATCAAAATACATTTAACAAAATTGATTTTTTTTTTAAAGATAAAACTAATTAATAAAGTTAATAGTCAAATTAATTACCTGAATTTTAGCTCGTTTATCCTCAAGTACTTCCGATGAAACCCCATCATCTACGGTTGACTGATCACTCCCCGCGTTTGCAGTCACAAGTTGCAAACCAGTCTACAAAATTGAATAACAAACAATTATCATCAATTGAAATTATTCTTGTCATACATCGAAAAGATATAGAGGTCTATATATATACGGTTTAACCCGAAACAACGAAACTTACATTTACAACAAACTGATCATCAGTTCTGATAGAATTATCGCCTTGAGAATTTTCCTTCTTTACAATAGGCTTTTTATCGGAGAAGAAGTCGACTTCATTAACGATGCTACGTTTCTCATCGGAGGAGGAAAACATTTCACCAGCGTTATATTTAGGACTTAAATTAAAACCAAAAACAGGCTTGTTCTTGAAGAAACCAGCTCTATCAGAATTAGAAGAAGAAGTTTCAAGGGTAAGACCCCATCCTTTGTCCATAAAAAATGAAATTTGGAGGAATATAGAAGATCAAAAGCCAAAATAGAGAGGGAGAAAATTTGTGGAAAAATGTAGAAATAGAAATATGATAAATTGAAAGTTTTTAGCAGATGCAATGGACGCTGCTATAAAAAGACTTTGAGATGAGTAGCTTCCGCGAAGGTTACGTAGACCAAGAAAACTACTAGTACTACTTTTTAAATTTATTTTTTTAAAAGAAAAAATTGTCACTGTTACTCTTTAGACACTCAAAACATTTTTTTTTTACCTAACTGCAACTTTTTCAAATTCTTCTACCATATAAATTATTTCTTTTTTAAAAATAATAATAATAATATGATTTGACACAGAATTTTAAAAATATTGTAATTTTAAATATGTGCTTAAATTAAAATATTTATATCCTTTTTTAAAAAAGAGTGGGAGTATAAGTTTATAATTAAAAAAATTATAATATATTTATTTTATTTAGAAACTACTCAAAACTTACCCAAAAATATATTTATAATAAGTTAATTTTATTTCGAAACTACTCTAAGCCTACCCAAAATATAAATGAGTTAATCCTTTTAATAAAAATCATAGAATCATTTTGATTACCTTCTAGTTCAAATTAATTACTTTCTTGGATTTTTTTTTAAATTTCATCAATTTTTTACAAAAAATTGAATTTTTAGGTTATGTTGGTATGGAAAAAAAATTCTAAAAAAAATCAATTTTGTTATACTCAATTGGTCAAAAATTTAGATTTTTTTAAAAAGAAAAACAAGTTGCTCAATATAAAGAAAATGACTTCATGAAATTAGAAAAAACAAGATTAACTAGTGGTATTCCATTTTAATCGTATTACCACCCCACTACCACAATTCATAATATTTATATATAAATAATTTAAAATAATACTCTCCCTGTTTTATATTAGTTGGTCATTTTTTTACGAGTTTATTATGATATCATAAAGAAGAAAATAATTTTACTAATTTATCCCTTAAATACTTCTTGAAATTTTATAAATAAATGTAAACATTTTTGAAAAAATATTAATTACAAGAGTACTATATGAGAATTTTAATTAATACCTTTTTAATTTAGTAAGATAAAGAAATAGTACGAAAGAACTTAATAAGATGATCCAATATTAGGAAGACAGTAGTATTTAGTTATATACTGAGAAATTTATTTGTTTCCTTCAACAACTAAAAAGAAAAAGAAAAAGGAAAAAGGAAAAAGGAAAAAGAGTGGTCAAAAGTGGTAAATATCAAGGGAACGTAAGGTGGTGCGTCATTGTATGGGTGACAGGTGTCAATAAGTGGGACCCAAAAGGTGAGAGAAAAGCGGAATGAAGGAGTTTTCGTCTCTAAGGGTCAAGACTGAGTTTGACTCGTTCCTATTAAAAGTAAAAGAAAAGAAGAAATCCACCGCCCCGAACGGTGCGGCGCGTCCCACGTGATCAAAAGAAAAATACGATTATCCGATATACTCCCTCCGTCCCATTTTATATGATGTACTTTGATTTGGCACAAACTTTAAGAAAAATGGAAAGACTTTTAAAACTTGTGGTCCAAAATGAATGATATAAATTTGTGTGGTTGTAAATCATTTCATTAAGGGTAAAAAAGACATTTTATAGGCAAATTGTTACTTAAAATAGAAATGTGTCATTCTTTTTGGGACTGACTAAAAAGGAAAGTAAGTCATATAAATTGGGACAGAGGGAGTATTAAAGTCAACGTATTTGACGGACAAAATTTTCGGGTCACACTCAAGACTGGGTAATCCGATTATTTTTTGTAAATTTACTTCAAAATTTATCTTACTTATAATAATTTTTATAATCACGTAGATAACGTGATATGTTATAGCTGTCAAGTTTAAAAACTTCAGTCAATTTTACTTGTTAGGTTTTGTTTTACCCCCTCTTTAAGAAAAGTAGAAATCATTAGCTAGATAGTAATTTGACTAGCAAAGAGTAATTGATATGACATATTTAAAATTATAAATTTAAAACAAAAAATTATGATAAGTCAAACTATATTAATTAATTAAAATGAAATAAGTATGATTTAAGTGATTTGATCAGATGAAAACATATATTAACTAATCATTATAAAGTAAGAAAAAAGTGTGGACAAATCATGTACTTAATCATATGGTGTATATATATATATATATATTTATGGATGCGAGTATATTTTGACCTGATTATTTTTTCGGTGAATTTAATTTTTGAACTTGTATTGATACAATTGTGTTTTAACTTTTAATACAAAAATAAATTTTGCACAAATTCGTACTTAACTGAAATATGTAAAACTCCAGCATAATTCAAAGCTCTGTTTGTAAAAGATTTCACCACAATATACTAAAGTTTGAAATTTTTATTTTATCAACGAAATTGTCTTTTATCATCAGTGATCAGACTGTCTGGTAGGATTTTTTCTTTTGACTTATATTATCACAAAATATATCTCAAAAAAATTATACGTTAAAATTTTCCAAGCCTGCTATTTTGTGATCTTTTAAACTGTAACGGTGAAAATTCTTGAATGTCTTTTCTTTTGGATGTTTAATTACATGTACAAAGTTATATATACTGGAGTTAACTTGTATTTTGGGCTGGGCAATCAGAGGCGGAGCTAGGTGAAGGTTTGTGGGTTAGAACGAACTCAGTAGCTTTTTTATATATCATGTATATGTACTAGAAAATTAAATAATTATATATGCATATAATTAACTTGTGAATCCCTAACAAAATTGATTGATGGTTCAAGGGTATGGAAGAAATCGTAAAAATATTTTTCATGTTAGAGTTGTGAGTTCGGGTCAATAACTTTTAAAAATCAGATGATTAAATAATGGTTTTAGACGTTTTTTTATTTTATTTTTTGTCAATGAAGAAGAGAAAAGAAGATTAAGAATGCTGTGTGTGGAACGTAGTCGTGTATGACTGCGACATGAAATTTCTTAAGAACCACGTCGTCTATATTAAAAACCCTTCTTAGGTTCTCGATCTATTCTCGCCCATGTAGATATATATATATATATATATGCCACTTTTAATATTTAAAAAATAATAATTAATTTATCATATTTTATTATTAGTATTAATCACTTATTTCTTAAATATATTATCAATATTATCAATATTATATATTAATTAATAAATTTAATATGATAAATAATTGTATCAATTATTATTTTCTTAATAAAAATATTAAATCAAAATATAACAACTGACAAATAAAAGTGAACGAACGGAGTGATCCGGCGAATAGGAAAAAGATAGCAGCACACCAAATTAAACACGTTACAATCCCTAGGGAGGGACAATCTGTTGACTCTTTAAGTTGATTTGCATTACCTTGGGGGAGGATTAAGTGGTTATTTCTATAAATTTTAAAATTAAATGAAATTTATATTTAATATTTTAAATTAATATAAATTTTATATCACAACACAAGTATGAAAATATTTAGTGTTTATAAAAGTGAGATAAACAACTTTTATCATAATCTCGAAATTATATAACCTGATTTTGGACTAAATGATCCTTTTTAATAACTTAAAACTACAAGGAAGTGATTGACATCTTCTTACTTTGAATTAATGAGGGTAAGTTGGAGTTTGGTTCAATTTTTTTGCAATCTAGAAATCTATTGTGGTGTAGTTAGATTGTGCAGTCTCGTTTCAATTGATAATTAAGCTAATTAATGATGCATTAAATCGAGTTTAAAGTCAATGAGTTTTGGGCTACTTGATGAAAGTAGCCACCCCTACCTATTAACACCTCTTAATACTCCCTCTAATTACTTCTTTCCCTAATTCTTACCAGCTGTTGACTTTCATTAACTTCTCTGATTTGATCTCTAAACTAATAAAATTATTATTATATTATTATTTTATAGAAAAAATAAAAATGCCTATAAAGGGACTAAATTACTAAGGTTGATATGTTATACAGAGGGCTCGTTTGGTACGAGGGATAATAGATTAACTAATTTTAATATTGATTTTTTGGATAAGTTTTCACTAAAAAAAAGTGTGAATTACATGAGGATTTTCCTGGGGATTAGTATGAAAATTCACAAGAAACTTATTTTCCTGCAAATTTTCATACTAATTCCCAGGAAAATTCCCATATAATTCACAGTTTTCTTGTAGTGTTTATTCCATGTTTGGTTGTAATAAAATCGCAGGATAACTTATCTCGGACATAATGTTATTTGTAATCCACATTCAAAGTGAATAATAATCATGAAATAATTAATCTCAAAATAACTTATTCCTAGATCAAACGAGTACTAAAAGAATATACAGTAAAACCTCGCTAAATTAATATAGTTGGGACCGTGAAATATTATTATTTTGTAGAGGTATTATTTAATCGAAAAATTAATAATTATTAATTTATAGAGTGTTTTGAGATTCAACCTTATGATGCTCGGATAATAAAGACTTTCAAGATGTATTATTGGAACAGGTTTTATCGTAGGATATTAGAAGGTTATGAAGTAGGACGACATGAATTTGGAAATCCTGGCTTGGACGATAAATATTCAGCAAAAGACAACAATAAATTATTTTAGACACTACAAAATATATTTGAAGGATGAAATCTAAGAGAATTTGATGAATCCACGCACTTGTGAAAAATGTCATTTATGAACTTGAGGTCATGATTAATGATATCGGTTAGCGCAATAAAATGGATGTCAATATCCAATTGATTTATCCAAGTGAAAATGATAAATATTATGCGGTCCAGAGCTTAAAAGAAATTGTGGATACCATAAAAAACAATGTTGACGATGAAATTATAGATGATACCATACCTTTAGGACCAGTTATGCATAAGGAAACACTTATCGTATCTAGAACTCTTTACAATATTATGGTGTAGTTCGAAAAGACCACCAAAACTTTTGGATACAATAAGAAAAGTTAAAGATGAACTTCAACTAGATTTAAAGTTTAACAAAAAATCAATACACAATAGAATCACATTTCACTAAATCGTCTTAGATATATTATTCATTTATAATATTAAAGAGACCATATATTTATATAGGGGTCTTCTGAAAATATATTATCTTATTATCTTATCG